AGATCCCTGGCATTTCGTGAGCACAGAGACGGGTGCGATCCATCTCATCTCGCTGTGTGTGCGACCAAGGCCAAACTCAGCCCTGTCGCCGTCTTCGTATGGATTCCAGCGCCGCGCACGCCATTATGGCAGCCACACTGGACCCTTCTATTTTGCCGCCGCCGCCGTCTGTGGCCGGGCGAAACCGCCTGCTGGATACCCGACTTTGATGGTGCAATCACTGACCGCAAAACCACAACGTGGCTGGCAATCGCCAGACCAGACCAAGAAAAAACCCCAAAATTCCCACCAAAAAAACACCAAAAAAAAAATACATCTTCTCCCCGAACGCAAACCGAATTTCCGAATAGCTACAAAATCTGGGGTTGCCTCCCGAATCCCCATTCCAGAAAACAATCTGGTAAATTTTCATACGTTGTAGTATCTTAATGACGGCTCAGAGGTTCTGCACGTTATTCTTCGTGCTGTCTCTGCTGTTTGAGCTGGCTTGCATAAACAGACGGGCCGTAGCGAGTATCGTAACTAGCGTGACGAGGGAAAAAAAAATTGTACATTAACATGGAAACGGTATCGAGTACGTAAGGCAGCCTGTAAGTTTCCCTGAGGTAAGTTACGTTCCAAAAATAGTCCGCTGTGTCTAGTACGTAAATCGGACGCTTGCATGTTGGGGGTCCATTTATGAAATGGACGCCACACACCGTCAGCGCGTTCATCCCGTTTGAGCCGCATCACGATGAACTGCGCGGACCACTTTACGATATAATTATACCATTGAATCCATTCTTGTAGGTACGAATGTAGTACATGTTATGTATTAATGAATTATCAATCAATCAGGGAGTGGCTAGAGCCTCTCTTCTTTCTTTTCCGGGCCGAGTGGTCATTGTGTCTCCATCACAGTATAATCACCAGGCATCAAAACTATTTGGGCAATGCAGCGGTGAGCAGTTGTCGGGAGAGGCGTATGGGGAGGATTAAGCACATTCGATGAGTGAGAGAAATCTAATCGTCCCGTCCGGATCTGCGCATCGTTCTAGTAAGGAGTTTGTCAAGATGAGATACCCCCACCTGAAAATATGAGCTGCTTGTTTGAACCAACAAAGCCCTAATCACACGACATATTTTCCATGGCGGACATCACACCAAAGGCGGATGCGAATTTAAGCTCTCCTCACATGCACATGTTGTAAAACCACTTCTGAAGGGAGATCGACAGCCCCCATTCATGATTCCTCACTAGCGACAGTACTTCGTACGAAGTTCTAATCAGAACTACCAACCTCCGCTTCCGAGCCTGTTCAAATTCTTAGCCCCACGGGTCGGCTTTGCTCATGTGGGACCGGAGTGCTGAACCGATGCCGACTCGGGATGCGGCACCGTAGGGCCTTTTTTGTTTTCTCACCGGGGTGCCAACGAGAGCTCCCTTTTGATGCCTCAATTTCTTCCCGGGAACCAGGAAACCCGCCATCACCGCCGGTCAGGAAAATGAAACTAGCGACCGATAAACGGACGAACACCTGGCGTCGGTGGCGTCGGTGTGTCGTTGGAGAAAACCTCCATGGTTAATACCACGGCGGGTCAATGTCAGACGGGGTCCTCATCCCTGCATGAGGGTATTGTGCAACCACTGCGGCGAGATCCGTGCTTATGACATGTTTTGCTGCATACTCTGTATCCGTAAAGACAACCCATTTCTCGGAAGACCTGTCATATGGCACAGTGTACGTAGCGAGCATGCGGCTACTTGTGGTGAAATGATGACGTCGTGTCAACTGTTGGTTCATGGAATAGCTGTTACGCATCATCTGATCTACTGGCCAACTTTTCCTTTAGAAAGTGCTTGTATTTATCAGAACGTCTAGCTATGCTAGGCAGTTGAAGTGATGAGAGAGGCACATATATGCTCAGAGCCCACTCAAACTGCGACATTATCCGGCGATGCCCTGCTCCTGACCTCGGCAAGGATGCTCCCAATGGCAGGTACCCTTACTGCGCTTTAAGTATTGTCTCTAAGCTAGAGTGTACTTTCTTGAGCAGTTGATGTAATAGTTTCTTACGACAAAAAAAAAGACTCGAGCTATTTCTCAGTTTAGTTTCGACAGTTGCTAGACTAGTCGCATCGCCCATCATCTATGTTTTGAGAAGCTGCATCTTGACCGAAAGCCGATCACAATGCACTAGGAAGCATAAATTACTGCCCTAATTTTTGCTACGGCTCTACCTACTGAATTGTGGATCATCTTTATTATTCTTTAGTCTCGAAAGTATGCCTATTGTCTAATCATACGACCAACTAAGATACGTGGTGGAAATTTGGCGTTGCTTTTGTGGATGGCATCACAAAACCGACGTCGACGAGAGCCGATATTTGAGGTCAAGAAGACCCCCATCGTAATTGGGAAGCGAGATAATCTCGCAGGTAATTTCTTGCATGCGGGGGGAGCCAAGCCTTCAGGAACTAAAAACCTGGAGATATACGCGAGTTTGTGGGGATAGATAAGAGGCATCACAGAAAAGCTGGGGTGATGGTTATCTCTGCTGATAAGGTACACCACAATATCTGGGGGGAATTAAAACTGAGATAAGGGGACGAATGCGGGGAGAACATAACTTCATGAGCATTGAGAGTGATACCATTTCATCAATAACTCTATTCACAACTAAGACATACCGATCGGCCTAACGGCTATCTGTTAAGGAGACTATCATATAACGACTACCAGAGCTCCTGATAGAGGTGCACAGTAAAAGCCTCATGCTGGTGATTTTATAGGATTCACTAAGCTATAATAGTCGACTGGCTATAACAAGGAAGAGTTTTCGTAAACCTACCCTCACTTTCTTCCTTTTTCCCTCACCATTTGTCCTACATTCTAACAGCTTTTCGGTCAGCGAATGGTTCGATCGAACCGAGGTTGGCGTCCCTATTTACACTCGTTCAGGAGCTTGGCCACCAGGCGATGGGGTCCTCCGATTCTGTTTCCATCAGTGCCTGGAATTGGCACCTTTGTAATAAACAGACCATCACCTAGCTCGGCTGTCAGTTTCGTTACCTTTAGAAGAATCCTCATCATGGTGGATATGGGCTTTATCGCGAAACCTACGGGCGGGCACGCCATATCATCTATAATGTTCGAGGAGCTGAATAAAATTCTTGGTTATCGAGATTAGCTTCGACAGGTTGAAGAAAATCATTGAACTGTTCTTTTTTGACTAATTTTGGGTGTATTGCTAACTTTGTAGAAATACGGGAAAGTGAACGAGGGAAATAAGAAGTAAGATAGATAAATAGAGAGAGAGAGAAAAAAAAAAGAGGGAGAGGGAGAAAGAGAGAGAAAGAGAAGAGAGAGAGAGAAAGAAGGAAAGAAAGGCTTTACTATATGGAAAGAATTTGGAAATGGGATGTGGATAGCTTTTGTAATGGATATAGAATACTATCAAATGTATCATCTTATGTTCATTAGATAGTTGTTGTAATAGTTATTGGGCAATTATGTTCTATTTGTTTTCTTTTGGTACTGATTTTATTGGATGATATTATTATGTGAGAAGCCAATGAAGGAGGAATAAAGTCGAAAGGCCATCATCTTTGAAAGAGCTCATTGCTGACGGGCATCTGGAGGTAACACGCAGCCTCGCTTGCCAGCCTCGGGCAGTTAGCACACCCTCCAAAAGGTTCTATTAATTTCTGAAGAAATTTTGTTTTGTTCATGCGTTTTACCTTCTACCTGCCTTTTTTTTCCTCTCACCTTCTGCTCTCTCAGTTTCTCCCAAAAGCTTTAGGGATCCCTAAACTTGCTTTCATGTTTTTCTCTTACGTTCTCGTCTTACCGTTCCTCAATGCCAATTCTGAAGAGGATACATGCAGAGTCGATCAATTGAGCGGGCAAGATGACAACTAGCTTCCAGCCTCTGAGGCTACGAATGTGACCAAAATCCCCGCCTCTGAGACCGAGGATGTCATCGAACTTCTAGTGTCTGAAGTTCAGACTTGGAAGACTAAGCTGTATATTAATGTCTCGCATCCAGATCTTGTGTCTCTGGAGAAACGATTCTTATCAACAACATGCAGGTGATCAGCGATGATGTTTCTAATACGATGCTGCTAGCTCATATGCTTATCTCTTTACTCTTTACAACTAGCCGATCAGCAAGCTAGGATGATGAAGATGCATGGTTAAATTTGAGATGAACTCCAGGAAGTGCTTGTTCATTCTGCTTGAGCTTTCCCTCGCTTTTCTCCTCCGCTTCAACTAGCCAATTGAACTTGACTCACCAGGTACCAAAAACTCTCTCGCTGATCTTCTACTTTTAGCAGTAGCAACTAATTGGGCCTATTATTTGATCCTCTACTCCTAGAAGCCCAGGAAGCGCAAAAAAGGAGGAGAAGATAGATGCTATACCCGCGATAACACGTCTTGAAACATGCGAGATGTCTACCCGCCATTGATTCACTTGTTTATGCATCCGAAGAATATTTATTGGATTGGGCTCATAACTCACCATATTAACCATCTGAGATGTTGCCCAAGTTTCTGTGCCAGCTAGGTTTAGAGCAAACGATTCTTGTCCTTCCACTGACCTATTCACGCGTGCATTCAGACGGGTCTAGGAATAGCTGCACCGGTGTGGATACAACTCGACTCCAAGAAGATCCGCCAACGCCGGGCGCAGCAATATCAAATCTCCCAAAGCGAATTGATCCTGGTAATGAGGAATGGCATAGATATATATTTTTTAAAAACTTTTTTCTTCACCAAAGATCGTATTCTATCCGTAAAATTGCATCTTCTTTCGCCTTGCTAGTTGGAAGTAAAGGAGTGATACAGACTGCCGTGCGTTGATCCATACTTACGGATCATCACCGTCAACTGCCGTTGGAACTCGAACAACATGACCAGAACAGCCAGGGACTTCATCAACAACAGAATAATTTTCAGATCTGCGTCTTCCAACGCATTGCGAGCAATAAAGAAGAGCCAAAAAGCTCAAAAAAAGAACTCCGATGCGGGGAATCGAACCCCGGTCGCCGCGGTCCTTGTTTCTGATGAAAACGCGGAATGATAACCGTTACACTACATCGGATGCTGTTCTTGGTTGTTGTCAGGTGCAAATAGTTCAAGCTAAGTAGTCAAGCTCCGCAGTAACCGGCACAATCCAACTCATGAATGATTATTAATCATTGTATCAGCTTAATCACATAGACTATACTGCATAATAGTCCGCACCTAACATTAGCATGACTTGTGAAATTTTTGTGTATCGTCGTGTAAGCCACTTGACCCTTTATCTGGGCCATGCACTGCGTTATGGAATCAGTGTAGCTAGCACAGGATATCCTGATTGTACGTGCTATGCAACAGTCTCTTGGATCATGTCTCAACATTCCTATCGTCATGATCGGAGCACCCCCCGAACCAAGCAGTAACGTCTGGTGCCTAGTCAAGCTAAAAATTGCTTTAATGCAGTTCCCATGCCCTACTAGTAGTAGCCTGTATGCGACAACTTTCTTCAAAGTTAGCATTTAGTTATTGGCCATGGGCAGGCATTGGTTTGTGCCAGTCGTCTTACATCGCTAATAAACCACAACACAACCAGGCTTGTATCTGTCAACCAACATACAAAGGAATAAGTCTATCACTCTGTCCAACATCGGCCGATTCCAGTATCCATCTCGTGTGAGGAGTCATGTTTCCTGTGCTGCTGACGCTAAGCCTGCAGTGGAATGATTTGTGACGGCCAAAATTTTGCCAAGTGGTCGTTCAACAAAAACCTGCATTGAAACCTCCTCCTATTATTGGTTGCTTCAACCACTGCCGGCATACTTTGCTGACGCTAAAAAAATTGCAGTAAAGCAGATATCGTGATTTCACAGAGAGAGGGGACTGCGTTGTTTCTTGTTCGCTGCGTCTCTGCCCGAGCTTCCTACGCCATCATGGCGTCTTTGTCGTTGATCACCCCAAAGTGCGCCTTGAAAGAAAACCGCCCTTATCTTCAGGTCATGAGCAAAGATCAAATACCGGCCTCATATGGGGAGGCTGAATCCCACCTCAAGTTCTATTCAGTATGTACCCCCTCTAGGCGTTGCCTTGCAGCAGTGGTCTGACAGCGAATTTTAGGCGGATGGAGAATGGAACTGGCTTTCTGGAACTGAGACTCAAAAAGAGGCGGAGATTATGTGAATAGTTAACCTCTTGATGCCACCTCTTCACAATATCTGACAGTAGTTACAGTGCGAATGCAAGCAAACCTGACGGGTTCAGAAATGACTCGTGTCTTGGAAAAGAAGGACCTTCAGCAGAGAAGGCGCAGGAACAACCTGTCGAGATATTCAAAGAAGGACTGACAGCCTAAACGCAGTAACTTCTATGCCAGAAATGATTTGTGCCTATAGGGACAAGTCTCAGCCCATTTCCGGGCGACTAGTAATCTTTGTATTTGCGAGCAACCCCAGAATGGCCGTGTGCAATGGTGGAGAGAGAATAATGACAAGTAAGAGGCGGAAAGTAACCTGAGAAGTACAGGAAAGCGCTCGCTGAGTCATTAGCATTGACTTGGAATTGAATAATATGATTTGACCATTTTTCACGAAATTTGCTGAAGAAGTCGTCCGATAACATTGCTCATGCAACCTTTGAGCGACAAGATATTTTCTGGTTTAGCCGCTCCTCAGCTATGTGTAAGTTCTTCCAGTTTGAATATCCACTCGTCCATATTGTGTTTGTCAAGAGGTCAGAGAATGGTTGGTAAGCATATTCTACCGTATACACATGACCGAATTTGCTAGGGTTTGGCCGACCGGGGATCCTCCAAATGCACGGGGATGTTAGAGACTTCTAATACTCTGAAAGATTGATTAAATTGAGACATTTTATGAACATTACGTTGGCCAAATTATAAATAGAGGCAAACAAGCTAACTGTTGAATTGTTCTTAGATATGCAGCTTCTAATAGTCTCCTTTATGTGCTGGCGACATTCTGGTGATATTCCAGACTGGTCCTTTCTCAATAGAGAACAAATTTGTAGTTTTATCGCCGGATGGCCAGCCAGGGCGCCAAATGTTTACCCAATTTGATGCTTACGAGATCCAACTTGTCTGTCGAATGAATCTAGTCTAAATAAAAAGTTGATTTTAAGAAAGAAAGGTTTATCCATCCCTGCTCTTCATATTCTTCGCCAATAACCCTCAACAGCAATGTCCCAAGCTCGTGGAGGGGACCTCACGCAGCCCCATCTAGCCTCTGCGCCTCGCACATCTTCGAATACATGCCCCCCTTCTCAAGTAGCTCATTATGCTTGCCTGCCTCCGCGATTCTGCCAGCATGGAATACAAAGATGCAATCCGCGTCCCGAACGGTCGAGAGTCGGTGCGCGACCGCGACGGTGATCCGGTCCTCGCTCGAAGCAGCTTCTGTTAGTGCCGCCTGAACGAGTCTCTCCGACTCGGTGTCCAGAGCACTTGTCGCCTCATCGAGTAGAATGACATTCGGCTGGCGAACCAGTGCTCGTGCGATGGCGATACGTTGACGCTGACCACCGGAGAGCTGGCTGCCACTTGTGGTACCGACGGGAGTGTCCAACCCTTCTGGAAGCGAACTCACAAAGTCCCATGCGTTTGCCTGCCGACACGCCCTCTCAAGCAGCCCATCTGACGCCGTTTCCGTGGCGTCGAGACCGGGGACACCTTGGGAGATGTTCTCGCGGATCGTGCCAGGGAAGAGGGTCGGCTCCTGCTGGACTAGGGCAACGTGATTGCGGTACAAGAGAGGGTTGATTGAAGAGAGGGATGTACAGGAGTCGCTATTGATGGTGCCGCTCGTGGGGTCGTAGAAACGCTCAAGGAGGGAGATGATAGTGCTTTTTCCGCAACCCGAGGCGCCAACGAACGCGACGAAGTCGCCACGCTTGATCTGTAAGATTGGTGTTAGTGAGTGTAACCTGACTGTGGGCTGAGTCTATACTTGCCGAAAGAGACACTCCTTTGAGAACCCGGTTTTCTGGCGCAAGAGGGTATGAGAACTGCACATTTTCGAACTCATATGACCTGCATCCGTGCTCGGGCTTCTTGTCACGGTTTTCTTCCGTCTCGTGGATAGTTCCGCTGAGCCCGTCGAGCCAGAAGTAGTAATTAGCTGCTTGGTTCGCCTTGGTGAAGCCTGGGATCTGTGAGTGAATAGGTTCTCCAGGAGTTTTGGAATGAGACTCACTGCTAGCGAAACTGAAAGCAAGCGCGGTGGCTTGGCCAGAGAAGTAGACCCCAAGGAACGATACAATGAACTGGTAGAAGTTGATCTTGCCCTCGTTGATCAGTGTCGATCCCCACCTGATCGTACAATCAGTCAATCAGTCAGTCAAATTCGCTTTCCATGAGTAGGCAAAATTCAAGAAGTGAAGACTAACCAGAACCCCAAGGCCAGAACAAAGTACTCAATAGATTGTGTAAGAGAGAACCAAACCATCATGTGGAACATTGGTCCGCTTGCCTGAACGATCGCCCGGTCAAGTTCATCGACATACTTCTGCAACACCTTGTTCTCAATGGCAAGCGACGAGACAGTCCGGATAGCAGTAATCGACTCCGAAGCCACCGACGCACTCGCGGCCAGCCTCTTTCCTATGTCCTCATCCATCTTTGTCTCGAGCCTGACACGCGCGTAGCCACCGGCCATAATTGGCGGCAATCCGGCAAAGACGCCTATAAGTCCCAGCTGCCACGACACGGCGACGGCGAGGACACTGGAAGCGAGAATGTTGATGGCAGACATGAGGATGATGGCAACCGTGAAGCCCATGAGCTCGAGGATGGCTTGCGGGTATGAGTCGAGGCGGCTGATGAGTGCGCCAACAGTGTTCTCAGGACGGTCGAAGAATTGGAGGTCTTGGTGGAGGAGGGATTCAAGGATTTCACGTCGCATCTTCCTGCTGAGAGTCTTGATACGCATTAAATTTGCGGTTAGTACAGCGTTGTAAGAATTTTGAACGGTTTCTTGAAGACGTGGATCTCACCTGGGCGATTGTGTTGGTTGACCAACCCATAACGAAATACACAACCAAGATGCCGAGTGACATGATGAAAAACATTAGCGATATGAAGTTGCCGCGAGAGACGAAATCCGGCGAATCAAGGACGCTCATTATTTGTCCAAGCAGGAGAGCTTGTCCAGGATTTACAGCAGCTGGTGAGAGATGAAATGATGAGTATTTGAACGATAGAACTGGCATCATGAACTAGTCGAAAGCAGCTCACTCACCTCCTGCAATGCATGTGACTGTCGTAACTGCAAACCACAACCAGAGCTCACGCGTACCAATAAGCAGCTTCCAGATATTGTGGATAACTCCCTTCTTTTCGTACAAGTCGTGGTCTTCGCGGTCTTTTAGTGCTGCTACTTGCCGCGCCTGGGCCGTCTGGATCCTGGCAAGAGATTGAACGCGATCAACATCATCATCTCTCTCCTCCAAGTCTTTTTCACCAAATACATTATTACCGTGAGCGGAATCGTATTTTTTCATGGTGGTACCAGGCGTAAGGTCCTGAGCCTTGACGAGATTGGCATAAATGCCGTCCCTGGATACCAGGTCTTCGTGTAGACCCTGTTCCATGATCTTGCCCTGAGACATGACTACAATATTATCCGCAAAGCGGATGGTCGAAAGTTTGTGTGCAATTACGATGGTAGTCCGGTCCTTGGAAGCATTGTCAAGAGCCTGCTGCACGATGCCCTCCGCGTGCGGGTCAAGTGCACTGGTCGCCTCATCAAGGAGTAGGATCTTCGGCTGCGAAATGACGCTCCGGGCGATGGCAATCCGCTGCTTCTGACCTCCCGAAACCAAGCCACCTCGCTCTCCGATGTGTGTGTGATATCCTTGAGGTAGGGCCTCGATGAAATCATGTGCGAAGGCGAGTTTCGCGGCCTCTTGAACGTGCTGCATTTGGTCTTCTTGTGATGCTGTCTCCCAGGGTGTGCCGACGAGGCCGTTGGCGATATTCTCAAACACGGTACCATTGAAGAGTACAGGCTCCTAGTATTATTAGAAAGTGTTTTGTGAGTATATGGCATAGGCTTTAGTATCTTACCTGTT